TTGTGAAAAACTTTGCCGAAATTACTCAGAAATTGTCAAAATTGACCCAAAACCTATCCGAAGGTTTTCAGAAAATTGTCAAAATGTGCGTAAAATAAACTAAAATTGTCCAGAATGGTTTAAAAACTGTCCAAAATGACAAATGCTTGTCAGAAATGGCTCAAAACTTTCCCAAAAGTACTCAGAAATTGTCAAAATTGACGTAAAACCTATCTGATGCTATTAAAAAATTGTTTAAATGTGTTCCAAATGAGCTGAAGTTGTCCAAAACGACTCAAATCTCTAGCTAGCCAAACCAGACATGCCATGTTCCTCGTCTTCAGTTGATATAGTTTTCTCTGAATCAATCCACACTTCATTATTTCCATCCCCAGTTCACAGCTTTACGTCGTCTGTCTGTTGTGTTATCTGTTGGTGACTTAAAACTGTTCTAAAGCTAAAACAGTCTCGGTTCTCACTTACATTCGGGGCTTTTTCAGGAAACGTTTCTATACAAGAAGAGTTTCAGGTTCTTTTTTGGTCTTTTTTTATGAAGTAATGTCTAGAACTCAGCAGCATGCTGAGCAGGCGCACTGAGATCTCTTCTCAGCTCCCCCGAGGACTCTACGTCTGCTTCGCCTCCCTCCTTTACTGGCTTCATGTAAAACCGTCTCAGCTCGGTCACATGGCAGCAGCAGCGATGCAGAACACCGCTTCCTCTGCGCTGTGAATGGACGAGACGTCAAAACTCAAACGGCGGCGCGAGGCTCGTTGCGGCTGCCCTCGGTGAGCCTTTGTTTGGTGGCTTATGGCAGGTAATTTAATGGTATTAATCGCGAGGGTGTCCCGGTGGTTGGGCTGTTTGGGGTGTGTATCAAAAGGCTGTCACGTCCCGGGGGGCTGAAGGAGGAATATTCTGCATATTAAGTTTTTAGTCACAGTGTGATTCACACATCAAACAGCACGTGCCCAGAATGGGATTCTTCTTTCTTCACCATTTTTCACCGTCTGACTTTAAAAACACCGTCTTTCTCGCTCGTCTTGTTTCCTTTTCTTGCCGGTCTTTCTCTCTCTTTCTTATTCCCTGTCTAATTCCCTTCTTTCTTTATCTTTGTTTTGTTTTTGTTTTTGTTTTTTTCCTTTCTCCTTTGTTATTGTTGTTTTTTTTTTTTTGCCTCTCGCTTGCCCTCTGAGAATATTCTGATAATGCCACGAATTTAACCCTGTGAACCCTCAAACACTCCGGCGGCTTTAAAAAGCAAGTTGTTTATGATTAAAAAGCAAAACTGCTTTCTTCAGGAAAGACGACCAAATCTGAGCCTATAACCGGCGTGTTTTGTTGCATTTAAAAATGTGCCAAACGTGAACTGTTTACAGCAGCAACTGTCTGCAAAAAGCTAAAAATTCTGCTTTTCTCATCGCACCCACGAAGCCATTATGGACTCATTTGCAACCAACAGCCACGTTTTTTTTTTTTTTCAGCTGCATTGGGATGAACTGCAGGCTTTGTTTCCACTGAACAGATAGAAGACAAGTGTGGAAACATATTTATAATCAAAGTGGTAAAATATCTGTAGCATGTCGCGCCATCTTCCATTTTTTGTCCATTTAGATTTCCCTTTCCCCCCCCCCTTTATTGCGATTTATGGCTTTCTAACTGTGCCAGAAGACATATTTGAGTTCTCTCTCCTTCTAGTCATGGTTGTTCTGTTTCCATCGAGGCGCTGGACTTCATATTACTGTGAAAAACGAGCCCACAGTGAGTTAAAACGCCCAGAAACTGATTCTGGTTCAGAGAGTTCAATGAATAGCATTAGCACTGTAGTAAAGGTGTGGTTGTGTGGCATGCCAGATGTGCCCTAGAATATACCGGTTAACACTTTGAAAGTTTAAACCTGCAATAAGTGATTAATTTATGTCAATTTTGGTACACCCTGTAAATACAACTTGGATGCATTATGACACTTCAACATCTGTACATTCTTATTATTTATCTTGTTTGCTCTTTATTTATTTATTTATTTGGATTTATGGTGGCAGTAACTTTACTCTCTATGCTGTAACCCCTCGGGATTAATAACGTATTTCTATTTTATTTGAATTTACTGTAAACATCCAACAACCTATCCAGCAACATTAGCCTTTAGCTGCCGTTGTGTTTCCGACTCACCTCACAAACGTCCATTCGCCCTGAGTATCGCACTAGTTGTATCTCTGTTGTGGTTTTTGCCAACTTCTGAGAAAAAGATTTCTGCCCACTGCTGCTGCTGCTGAAAACCAGGTTGATGAGGGCGAACCAAACCAGTTGAGCTATGGGCTGTAAACACCCAAACACTGGATTTAAAAAAAGAAGCTTTTCATGGCTCTTCTTCTAATGCGACTCCATTTGGTCCATTTTTAACATATTAGAAAACATGAATAGGAATTCTAATAATTATAGTAATCGTTCCATGAATCCTTGAATGAAAGCCGGTATTCAAGTGAAGGACAATACAGCAAAAATAAACGCTGGGTCTGGTTTAAAAACAATGAATAGGCACGAAATTACCAGTGTAATGACTCACACAGTGGATTCAGCAGAATATCCACCCGTCAGCCACAATATTAAAACCACCTGCATCATATTTTATAGATCGTCCTCTTGCTGGAAAAGAGCAGCTCCGATCCATCCCGGTGTGAACGTCAGACCTCTGGAGGCGTCCTGTGGTGTCTGGCAGCAGGACTTTGGAAGTGCATTACTTAAGTCTTGTGTAGGGCTGATTGATTTATTGATTATTTGACCAACGTATTGACTAATTGTCCTCCAAATACAGCAAAAGGACATTTCAGAGCAGCCAAAGCAACGCGTTTTCTCCGTGTTTGCTTGCTGTCTGACTTTGGTTGTAGCTTTGAACCACACAGCTGCTGTTTTTAACCTCCTCTTTGTGGTGAGTTTGTCTGAAAAAATTGTGAAATCAAGATTCTAGCATTGGTTTGGTTAACGTGTAGCTTTAATGAGGCGTGTTTCAGTCCCTGTTGACACACTTATTCTGCTGTCTGACAACAAAAACAGAGCAATATGTAAACAAGAACAGCTTCATTGTGAATTCTGCTGTATTAAATGAAATGAAATGAAATGAATGAAAAATACTTTATTTATCCCAGAAGGGAAATTCAATAAATTAATTAAATGCAGTATTAGTGAGCACAGAGAGCAGGAGCAAAGAAAACTAATGTAAAGTCCTCGTTTTTTGCGCTGCATAATGTGATCCGAACCTCTACACCGTTTACACGCCACCTTTTTGTTCTGTTAAAAGTCTGAAAAAAGTACTCCCACAATCTCAAAATTTTGAGTCTTTGGAAACTTTTATCCTGATTCCGAGTCGGACTCAACCAACGTCTTTACGCAACAATTGCATCGCGATGAGGAAGAAAAACATTTGAGGCATTTCAGAAAAAGATTAAAAAAATGTAAGGACAACTCAAAATGTTGGCAAAATTTCAGCACTGATGTTGTTTATTATGTCAACTTATTGCGTCCTCTAGATCCGTGGTTTTGTGGAATGGGACTTAAGTGGACTTGTTTAGTGGCATGCCATTGGTTGTTGATTGGTTCCTGAGCAGATTTAGCAGTTTCTTGGGGTAGATTGTTCTTTATTGCTGATGCCATGCATGGTTTGGTTGGTTTGAACAAAGTCTAGAAGGACTGTACATGTCAAAAAACCATCTACATGAATTCTCGTGCATTAATCGTAGCAACTGGACTTGCTTGAGTTCCTTGAAGATGTTCCACCTCTCATCCAAGAGGCTTCATTGGTTCTGACTGACTAGTTGGGAGTTCCAGATACTTATACCCTTAAGGAGCCATTAACACCTGAGTTTCGGTTTCAGTTGAAGGTTTGTTGCTCCTCCCTCTCGTTATGTGAGTCGTTAGTGCTCCCCCTGCTACAATGGGGTTCGTTAAGGTCTTCTGTGGCTCGGTGTGAATGTGGTTTCATCTTCCTGGGGCGAGATCTTTGGACTGAATTGTAACAACAAACAACAACAAACCCCCAAATGAAACCGAAACTCGGTCAAGGAACTCAAGCAAGTCCAGTTGCTACAATTAATCCACGAGAATAACCATGAGCTGGATGACTGAGAATCTTCAGACACATCTACATGAATGTAGAACCCACGTTTTCTTGGCAGAATGTTGTGTTCTAATGAGATGATTTGGTTTTAATGTTGTGACTGGAGGCCGGGTCAACAAGTTGAGCTCTTTGTCATGTTCCTCGAGCGGTTCCTGAGCAGATTTAGCAGTTTGTTGGCTTAGATTGTTCTTCTGTGCTGTTGTCGTGCAGGGTGTGGATGGTTTGAACAAAGTCTATAAGGGTGGTACATGTCAAAATAACATCTGCATGAATGCAGAACCCAGGTTTTCTCGGCAGAACGTTGCGCTCTAATGAGATGATGCGGTTTTAATGTTGTGGCTTGTCGATGCTCATTTCCAGGTTTTTAATGTGAAAAATCTGCCCAAGTGTTAATCAACAACAGTGAGGCTGCAGTCAATCAGTGACAGGCTATAAAACTTGGGGGTTGACCGATATGTTCAAGACTGGTTTTCTTTGTTTATAAGGATGACTTTAACTGAATATGTAAAATACTCGTATATGTGACATAAACTGAGATTGATCAGTTTGTCTCCTACAGTTCTGTTTTCTTAGTCTTTCACTGTTCTACCACTTTTATTGCACATTGAGCTCCAGATCTTACAAAAATGATTAAATACTGTTTCCCAGACTTGTTTCAGGGCTGCCTGCTAACTTAGCCGTTAGCGTAGCATTAGCCACGTCGAGAGGAGCTAATTTCCTGGTGTGTGGCGACGACTTGTGTTTCTTGTTCAGAGACATTTCTGAGACCACAGAGAGAGGAGGCACATTTAATTTGTCAATAATCATCAATAACAATACCGATAATTGGAAAAATGTAAAATATATCCACAATAATCCGTCTGTCTCTGGTAAAACTGACCATGAACTTCCTTGTCTTTTCTCTTCCAGATGTTCACTGGCCTCCTGAAGCACACGGCACCTCCGGCCTCCGCTGCAGCAGCCTCCTCCTCAGCCTCGGACCAAAACAGCAACGCACAAACCACAGTTCCCACAATCCCGCGGGGTCACCTGGTCGTGGGCCCCAAGGACCAGCTGCGCCTCCTCACCCCGGTGGGCAGCACGGCGTCGTCCAATCACTGCGCGGTGGCCGGGGTCCACGCCGCCAAGCACTCCGGCGGCGGCGCCACGAGACCGCCGTCCTCCCTGAGCGAGGAGGACGACGGGGGAGGCGGCGGCCGGGTGAAGAAGAAACGGAAGAAAAAGGACAAGAAGGAATGGGAGAAGGCGGCACTGGCGGAGGCGGAGGAGAAGGAGAGCAGCAAACCAAAGAAACGTAGGGAGGAGAAGGAGGCGGCGACGACGACGGTCTCGCTGAGGAAGAGCAAGGAGCCCAAGGAGGGGAAGGAGAGGAAGGAGCGGCGGGCCAAGGGCAAGGAGAGCAGGAAGGACGGCGGGGCGGAGCTGAAGAACGCCAGGAAGACGACGGGCGCCGCCTCCGGAGCAGCTCAGGTGCCCGTGAAGGTTCCCGGCAAACGAGGGAGGAAACCGAAGGTCAAAGTCCTACCTCCTGTGCCCCCGAATCAAGGTTGGCGCTCGTCTTCCTGAAGTGTGTTTTGTTTTCTGTGGTTGCGGCGAGTTGTCGAGCGGTTCTGTGCAGGAGTTCATTTGAACACAGACGTTTTATTTTAACACTTTCAGTCGATTTTTGCCGGCCGACAGAAAACCCGACAACAGAGCGGATTTTGAAACAAAAGTTTTCATTGGTTCGATGTTCCCAAACGTGAGCATCCTTTTCTCTGCTTTATAATGTCATTTCTTAATAACAGATTGATTCACTATTTATCATTTTAGATCTGACGTATCCAAGTCGTTGAAGGGATTTTGACACAACTTACTATGTCAGACTTATACATTAGTTTAGAGAAAGAAAAATGCCAAATCTTTATATCTGATTTCAGTATGAACTTGGTCCGTCTCATATTTATATTAATTCAGAGGAAAAAAAGGTCAAATCTCGACGTCTAATATCAGATTGAACTTGCAAATTGCGACGGGGATTTTCACACGACTTATCCATCTTGTGTGTCTAATAATTTTTAGAAAATATGTCAGTCTGAGGGCTGCAAGGTGGCTCAGTGGTTAGCACCGTCGCCTCGCAGCAAGAAGGTCGCCGGTTTGCGTCCCGGTGGGGGCACCGGAATCCTTCTGCATGGAGTCTCCATGTTCTCCCCGTGCAGCGTGGGTTCTCTCCGGATTCTCCGGCTTCCTCCCACAAAAACATGTTGAGGCTAATTGGTGATTCTAAATTGTCCGTAGGTGTGAATGTGAGTGTGCTTGGTTGTCTGTCTCTAAGTGTAGCCCTGTGATAGACTGGTTACCTGTCCAGGTGAACCTGCCTTCACCCTGAGTCAGCTGGGATAGACTCCAGCCCCCCACAACCCTAGTGAGGATTAAGCGGTGTATAGATGATGGATGGATGGATGTTAGTCTTCTGATTTTAGTATGAACTTGCAAGTTGTTAAAGGGATTTTGACCCAACTGGTCCGGCTCATATTTATATAAAATTTGAGCAACACTGCCTCAATCTTGAGGTTTGATATCAGTATCAAGTTCTTTAAGGTATTTCAACACAACTTCACCATCTTATATGTTTATATTAATTCTGAAGGGGAAAAAAAGCCAAATCTCCACGTCCAACATCAGTATGAACTTGCGAGTTGTGAAGGAGATTTTGATAGACTTTTCCATCTTATGTTTCTCAGAATTTTGATTAAAAAAAGTCAAAATCTTAATGTTTGATATCCGTATAAACATACAATTTCTTAAAGGGATGTCAACAAGCCTTATTTATCTTTTATATTATATTATTTTGAGAAAAAAAAGCCAAATCTCAATGCAGTCTTGAGAAGTTGCTTTAATAAAAACAGCCTTCATGTGACGTTGACTGTGTTTGTCTCCAACCCCGTCGATTACCGGCTTTGATCCTTTTGCTCCTTTCCCAATCTCCCGACACATCCGATTCAGTTTCAGCAGCAACATCAGACGTGACCGAGCATCCTCCAGTGTTTTAATCAACAACCAGTAAACAACAACAAAAATCAAAAACGGCGAGCAAGCGAGCTGGAACGTTTTGTCGCTAATTGGACGGCGCAGGCGACGACTGTTCTATTCTTAAATGTCCTTAAATCATGATCAGACATGTCAGGATAAATGAGTCTTATTATGATGCGATTGTTGGATTTAATTAGGACCGAGTGACTAAGTGTGTGTTTGCACGTGTGTGGGTGGGCGCATTAGCATTCTGTCCCAGCTGGAAAAAACAGATTTGCCGGCGAGAATCGAGAATTGTATCAGCGAGCGTTTCGAAGACGCGACTCCTTAACGTGAACCGAGGTGACGCCGGCTGCAGGATAATGGGATCTGTACGCGTTTAATGCAGCAGCTAGAAGCTCTTACTGAGTCTTTGTCACCATTTGCTTTTTTTTTTAAATGACATGTGTAGAATAAATCATTAAGAGCTTAGATTTGATCAGTTAACCCGACGCGTGATTCAAGAAAAGTTGGAAGGTTACAAATCTGACAATACTTCATGTTGTTGCAGTTTCTGGCTTTGACAAATTGTTTGATTTTGTTTTATTTTTCTTACCTTTTTTTTCCTGAGGGTTAAAGAAAAAACTTATTTGTCAAAGCAAGATAATGTTTCGGCACTCTGAATTTTAGTCTTGAGACAGTCGGTTGCAGCTGAGTCACTTGTGGCTTTTTGTTTGCACCGAGGAGCCTAAAATTTTTTGTTTTTTATAGAATCTAATGAGAGCTAATCATTTTTTTTTTGTAGAATAAATCGAGTCAGCGCTTAGATTTGATTAGCTAACCTGCTTCGCCTCTCTGAATTTTAGTCTTGAGACGGTCGGTTGCAGCTGAGTGACTTGTGGCTTTTTGGTTGCACTGAGGAGCCTAAAATTTTTTGTTTTTCATAGAATCTAATGAGAGGTAGTCGTTTATTTTTTCGAATAAAGCGAGTCAGAGCTTAGATTTGATTTGTTAACGTGCTTCGCCTCTCTGAATTTTAGAGTCGAGATCGTCGGTTGCAGCTGAGTCACTCACGACTTCTTTGTTGCGCTAAAAAGTGCAGAATCTTAATTATTTTACAGAATCTGATTATTTTATTTTTGCCTGTTTTTAAGAGACATTCATAGTAAAGTAAATCTAAAGGAATATCACAATTTTAAGCTTAGATTTGGGTCATTTTTCAAATCAAATGAAAAGTTCGCAATCTAGCAATTCTCATTTTACAGTTCCTGGTTCTGATAAATGGTTTAATTTCAGCAATAGATGTATATATATTTTAAAGATAAAACTAAAGAGGGTTTAAACTGTTCCTCCTGGATTTCAGGCGTCCTCCTCCTCCGTTCAGCCGCCTCGATGACCAACCAGTTGGAGCACACGCATCGATAAAGCCGCGACACCTCTCTGGCTTCTCACCTGTGAAATGTGTTAATTAAAATGCACGAGCGAGGCAGAGGTAGCTTCTGCTGGAAGGTTCTTTTTTCCCAGAGAGGTGGAAGCTTTTGGTCAGCAGCAGCCGACGTAATGGAAAGATGTGAAAAATCAATTCCGGCTCAAGAGCTACGACGAGAGGCATCACCGCGCCTCATTGAGGATCTTGCTTTTTAGTGGCTAACACCCGAATCCTGTTCATATTTTCCGCCCGCAGCAGCGCCTCCCACCCAAGGACACCACAGCAAGGTCCAGCTCCAGGGCGGCCACGGCCATGGCAAGAACCACGGCCCGGCGAACAGCAAGGCGCCGGCCCCGTCGGCGCCGAAACAGAGGGGCCGCAAACCCAGGTAAGACCGCCGTCGACAGAAATGTATAACGCTGCAGGAAGGGAGAGGAGTTTCAGAAAGCGAAAGGGTCGGCGTGCAGGAAAAGCCCTGGAAGTGGACACTGATGGAGTAACGGCGAGAAAGGCGGCTATAAAGCTGTCAGCCCCAACAAATTATGCACTTCCTCTCCGGGCACCTCGGTTACAAATATTTCACTTTGAAGCTATATTTTGGAGGCGGAAAAGACGGGCGGGAGAGTTTTCATTCAGTCCCCGGACAACATGAATGCACGGCGGGGTTTGTACCGGAGCAGAAAGAAGAGCCAGAAAGAGGCTTTGATTTGGATACGAACGGGCTTTTTTTCAAATTTAGTTGAAGTCGGATCTGAGATTTTGCATGAAAAGCCCCCGTTAAAAATCTATTAAGTCACCTCACAGGCGTCCTGTACGTCGTAACGCCTGAATCACATGGCGGACAAGTTGGTGTGTTAGAGGTTTGTGTGCCTTTTTGACACACTTTTTGTTGCTTGGGGTGCACGCAAACTCTTAAAACATGATTTTCAGCTGCACAGTAAAAATCTGAAATAAAAATGTCACTGCTCAGTTTCTCTTTTTGTCGTCTGAGGAGAACTTCTAACCCTCATGGGATCCACGTTTTCCATAAAATCACATTCTGCTGAAAGAAAAGTTGTTTTTTTAGCATGCAAATAAAAGAAAAAGACAAGAATCGTGCATCTTTTTATGATCTTTCCCGACAAATAGTCCCCTTTTCTGCACCTATTTTCCCTTCTTTTCCTCCAAATTGTTCGCTTTTCTCCCCTTTTTTTTACCGTCAGCATCCTCATCTTTTTTTTTTCCACTCCTGGTTTACAAGCAGCTCCAGAAAAAGCCGAGCGGCGTTTACAAGGTTGAGAAATCGGAGCGAAGACAGAGGGCACGGTGACACGTCCTTTATTTCGGTTAAAAATGTCGCCCTTGCCTCTCTGCCTTTAACAAAGCAGGTGTTGTTCATCTTCAGAAGCTGGAAACTCTCATTAAACGCAGTTTTTCGCCGATGAATTGTGTGTTTATACGTGGATAAAGTGGCACAAATTAGCCTCTGTGTGTTGTTGCGTTGCTCTAAACTACAAATGTGTGTTTTTTATGTGTGCAGTCGGTCTGGATTTGCATGTTTTTGAGCTGAATTTGTGCAAAGATGGTAGGAACAACCTCAGAAGTGTTTTTTTCTGTCGAGAGGGTTACGATGCGATAATCAGGGATGCTGGAGGAAGTTAAACATCTCCGAGAGGAAAGTTTGACAACGAAAAGAGATGCGAGAGTGAGATGAAAAGCAGCAGCAGCACAGGTGATGAAACAAGAGCCTTCACATGAGACAGAAGGAGGTGATGAAGAGATAGATGCTGGGAAGGAGGAGGAGGAGGAGGAGGCGTCCCGCTGAACTCCAGTGACTCGGGGTCATCTCCAGGTTGCCCTCCGGTGTCGGGTCGTGTTTTGTTCCGATCGTCACAAGAAGATTAGAGAACCCTCGTGCGGCACAGTTTTAATTCCGTCTTAATCTGCCGCTTTGTCTTCGCTCGCCGCTCACTTTTCTGCCAGATTTCTAGTGCAGGAGAAAGATAGAGAAGCAGAGAGAGAGAGAGGATACCATTAAGTGGGACAGGAGAGGAATCTCTGTTCGCTTCTCCAACCACAGCTGCCAGCCCAGTCCTAAATCACCGGGCTGCGCTTCACGTGGCAGCTGCAGGTTTAACAAAGAAAGAGGGATGGTTGCACTGGTGGAGCCGCCTAAAATAATCACTTTAAAATAACGTTGGGCTCCACAGAACAGTCGTCTAATTATGTTCAACCAACAACCTCTGATGAACTGTTCCTCTAAAATCACAGGTATTCTTTAATTACCAGCCTCTGCATTGGGAAATGTGACACGAAATTAAGTTATCGAGCAGATTTCGTGAAGTTTCCTCAACTTGGATTAAGAAATTGGAGTTTGAATGACGTTATTAAGTCGCATCAACCTACAAAAATAATGTTTGCATCCTAAATAGTTCGTCTAAATCATTATTATTCTGCAATCACGCATTTATTTAAGCGTTAGGAATACTTTATAGTGCGTTTTAATACAAGATAAATATAAATTCTAAACCTTAACAACCTTGTATTTGTTGTTATTTGACGACAAATAAACATCTGCGGGAGGATTTCTCAGTAATTATGCAGCTCGTGTTTGTTAAATAAACGACTTCAAGGCAGAATTAGAGACATTAAAGATGTTTCTGACAAATAATTTGACTGTATTCAACCAAAAGTTGTCCTAAACTCATGAGCAGGATGCCGTAGATGCAATTTTTTTGCTAATAGCTGTGAAATAATGATTTTGGTTAATTAATGAGCCCATGAAATGCTTTTCCCTCCTTTACTTCAGTGGGTTTTACAGCTTCATGCAGCTGTTTTATTGCTTTTTTTTCATGCATGTAAAAGGTCTCCGAGGTTCTTCTGCTGCTTACAGGGAACGATTAATTGCTGATCGACTAGTTTAACCGATTAGAAATGTTTTAGCTGAAGCACGCTCATCAGCAATTAATCGATGAATCAGTAGCGTTTCGAGTGCAGTTTTTTTAATATTAAATGTCCCGTGTGGTGAAAATTTTTAATTTTTTCCTTGAGTTTTGTGGTTGTTTTAAACTATGAGGTGCTAAATAAAAGCTGTTAGGGTATAAAAATGTTTACTTTTGCTTTTCCTTGAGCAAAAAGGGCCTTAAAGGATGACGACGTACTCTGGTAAACCTAAAAAAACCCCAACTATAGACCTGTTAATGTGCACAATATAGGCTCTTTAGGCATTCGTCACCATCAGCTAGTTTAATAAAAATACAATCCCGCTGTATGCATGATTCCTGATCCACTCCTTGCTTTGATAGAAGAGCTTTCTTGTGAGTTGTCTGAGAAGAGACGAAGGTGATTTGTGCCTGTAGCAAAATCTACAAGCATGGAGTTTTCTGTTTTTGCAAATGAACTCTTCAAAAAGTATTTGAAGAATCTGCCTAGAGTTGCACAGATACGATTATATGTATTTATTTAAGCAGGTAGGTCGATGGAGAACCACTTCTCATTGACAGTGACGACAAGCATGAACGGTGGACACCGAATCATAGAAACAGATAATACATTTATAAACGGTGGCACATTAGAGATGAGAAGCAAGCACAAGGTCTTGTACTGTTGAGTGATATTGATATATTATGACAAAAAAAGCAGAAGTTTGCCGATGATTGAAGATGGAATCACCCACAGTTGATGCTCCCATCGTAGAGTTTACCTGCTAACTTCTGTGTGTGCGTTTGGTCACAACTGGGCTAAAAACTAGTCTTGCATTCCCAAAAGTGCACGTTTGCCATCACAGCGTCCGGATTTACTTCTTCCTGCTGATCCGAGGCGAGCTGTCGTCCTCCAGAGATCGGATCCAGTCCACCGACAAAGCCGTCGATGACTAACTGCGAGGAAATAATCTGAGGTTTTCCTGATTGTGCTGCAGATGTGCTGATTCAGTCCCCGCTCAGGAAACACCCTGCTTCTTCATTCATTCATTCATTCATTCATGTGTAGCTGCAGCAGCGGTCCTCCTGTAGTTCAGCGCATCGCAGCAACATACCTGTACGTGATAGAACTTGCTCCGTCAGATCTTCTGCAGAGCTTCTGAGAAAAAGGAAAGAAGGAAAAAAAGCGCAGCTGCAGGCTAACGGCGCTGCCGATCGCTCATCAGAATTTCCTCCCCTCTCCTCGCAGAGATCCTGGCGCGGCGCCGGTGGAGAAGAAGAAGAAGGGGAAGAGGAGAAACCAGGAGCCGGCTGTCCAGGAGGGGGCGGAGAGTGACGACACTACCTCAATGTCAGCCCTCAACATGGGAGAGGACAGCCAGGACCCGCTGGACAACGCCGTGAGTGCATTTAGATAAACAGGATGCATGTGTGCAGATGTTCACTCTAGAAAGTCATTTACAAAGACACGCTAACCCTCTGAACTCCAGGCAGCTCGTGGGTGTCGCATTTGTCTGTGCGATATAAAGTCCTGCACCTTTATGGAAACAGCAACAGTCATGGCTATAAGTAGAGAGAACTCAAGTGTCTTTATTTTTCCTTCCTTTGCAGTTTGACAGAATCAGAATCATCAGAATCAGAAGTACTTTATTGATCCCAGAGCGGGGAAATTGATTTCTGTTACAGGTGCTCCCATTCAAAAGTCTTAAGAGAAGCAGGAGAGTATGAAATATCTCAAAAAATATGATAAATAAATATAATAAATGACATTTATAACGCCATAAATCTTTAAAAAAAGAAGCATTTATTTCACAAAAATGGGGGAAAAAAATAAAACGTGTTCACAGGTGTAACAGCGCTGGAAAAAACACTGTAGATGTTTTAGTAATTAGTTTTCTTTACTTCGTTTACGTACTTTCCTCTTGTCTGTTCTGTGTTGAGTACAGCCTGCAGTTCAGTCCAGTTCAGACAAAAAGTCTCTGAATTTTAGTCAAGCGACTGTCTGTCACAGCTGACTCGTTAGCGGCTTCTTGGTTTCACTGATGAGTGCAGAATTTTTTTAGATTTTTACAAATTACAGTTTATTTCAGATAAATCTTCAAATGAGACTTTTGGATTACAGTGATTTTGGTTAAACGTCACAATTTTTTTAGCTCAAATTTGGTTCTCGACTGAACTAAACAGAGTAGGACTGTTGGAAACCTGACGGGTCTGATTTTATAGTTCCTGGTAAAAAAAGGGATAAATGGTGTAATTTAGAGAGAAGTTTGAAAAGAACTTTGAAATGCCTTTAGTGCAGTGTGACAGTTAAAAAATATCACAAATCATAAAAACACCGAAAATTTCAATTTCTTTTTTTTTTTTTTTTTTTTAAACAAAAATTGAAAACAACACAATCAACACCTGTAGCGTTGTTCTAGGTGTCCACAGGTGTTACCAACAGTGGAAAACATACTATACACGATGCACATACTAAACATTTTGTATTACTGACATCTTTAACTAGTTTCTCTCTGTTCTGCGTGAACACAGCCTGCAGTTCATCCGAGAAGTTCCTGTATTTCTGTCATGTGACTGTTGGTCGCAGCCGAAACGCTAACGGCTTCACGGTAGCAACGAGGAGCGCAGAATTTTATGTTTTTGACAGAATCAGGCGACTGCCAACTGTCTGTTTTCTGCGTATTTTTGTATTTAAGACCTGCAGAATAAATTGAGTATCACACTTTTAAGTTTAGATTAAATTATGTATCCTGATGGAACGGCACGTCGCTCTGACCAACCAGAAAGTTAAAAAACATATTAAATATTTTGCTTTTTTGAAAATCTGGTTACTGATAATGGTTTATTTTTTTAAAACATCCTTCAACGACACTGATTGTGATGAAATATTAAGATTTTAAGTTTAGGTTTGGTTAAATTTTTGTGAAATGTGCTGAATTTCCCTGTAAAATGTGTAGTTTTTAAAAAATTTTTATTAAAAGATAACATGCTTTAAAACCTTCTTGCAGATTTTGGGGTTCAGAGGGTTAAAGAAAAACTTCTCATGTTGTTTCTGTCGGTTATGAACTCCCTGATCGCTCAGCTTCAGTGCAGATATCAACAAAAAAATCTGTCCTTGAGAAATATTAACATGTTTTAAAAATATTAATTTTGACAAGCAGCTGTTGCAGTAATGTTGCTTGGATTTTTATTTTTCAAAGACGACATCCTTTTAACTGAGTTCTAAGGGTTAAATAATAAAAAACAGATGAGAGGATTAAAAAATAGATAAAAGATCTGTTCAGTGTCTGTGGCAGAACGCTGAGGGAGATCGTTGTCTTTTAAATTGGACGTTTTTCCATCCACAAAATAGACGCAACAAGTTGTTAGTGTCAGAAAGACTTGACAGTTAATGTGTTTGATATTCTGAGCTGCACTGAAACAGGTTTGCATTGATGCAGGTTGACACGATTATAGTTTAACATCACATTTGTTGGGATAAACAATGTTGGACGTCGTGTTTTTGAACCTTTAACAGCCTCAGACTTATGTTTTTTTTAAAGTATATTCCATTTCCTTAGACCTCTAGCCAACAACTAAATAGTTAAACCTGACTTCTTATTACTTCCATCCATCTTCTTTTCCTTCCTCCTGCCTTCATTCATCCTCTACTCTTAACTTCCTGCTCGTCTACCTCGCTATCTCCTCTCGTCGTCTCACACTTCACCCCGACATCTCACCGTGTCATTATTTCCTTTTTTTTCCCTGTGCTTTCGGATCTTTTAAACTCTCCTCCCGTCCCTTCGCTCTTCATCTCGTCCTTCAGAAGCGGCGTTCGGGACGACAGGTCAAGAGGAGGAAGTACAACGAGGATCTGGACTTCAAGGTGGTGGACGACGACGGGGAGACCATCGCGGTGCTCGGAGCCGGTCGCATCTCGGCGCTGAACGCCACCGCTCTGGCGTGGCAGGCCGAGGTAAGGGCGTGCTTTACTGTTGGTTTGCTCCTTTTTCAGGCTCATTATTTAGACTTTTCTTCATTATCTTGGTTTTGAATGCACGATAAATAAAATTATACAGTGATGTCGCCCAAAAAAATCAGTCAACGAGCTGGACAGACCTCTTCTTCTCGGTGTAATTACTGACGAGCCTTTATGTCGTTTTAATCTTTTCTTTTCAACTGCTGCCGTCTGAACACAAACTCTCTGCTTCTGTGTCAGGAGCCGCCGGAGGACGAGGCCAACATCATCGAGAAGATTCTGTCCGTCAGGACGGCGAAGAAAGAGGTGAAAACGCTAAATATGTCTTCTAGATTAGAGCTTTACACGTTTATTCCTCATGTGTTTAACCCTCCTCGTTCTCCGTAGACCTCACCGTCAGAGGACCAAGCGGAGGACACGGAGGAGTTCTACGTCAAGTACAGAAATTTGTGAGTGTCTCTGAGAATTTCTATTATTCTTAAATGTTAAACGCTGATTTCTTTGTGCATTCATGCCGACCGGTTGTTTCCTCAGACTGTCCTTCTGCCTGTTCTTGTGCCCAGTGGGACAAAAGGCAAATGTACGAGGTGTGTGGAAACCAGCGGCGCTCTGCGGTTTCCATGTCAGGTCACTGGTTTGTAATTGCGTTTGCTGTTACCACCCGCCGCTCCCTGGCTCCGGCCAGGTGCAGGGCTTAATGCGACACCACCGCCAGCTCCGGCGACTCCGGCTCAGACCGAAATATCCCAACGACTGTCTTGCTGTGAAACCTGAAACCTCTGTTGCTCCGGAGATGAAGCCGAAGCTACGCCGTCGCAGCTCAGGCTGGTTTTAAAGTGACTGAGTTTTAGAGTCGCGTCAGGAAAACAATCTGAGAGGTGGTGCTGCTTCTTCAGGTTAACGACAGAGTCTTGAACGTCCTGCACAACTTCAGAGGTGTTAAAAGTCACCTGCATTAAAATAGGATAAGTTAAGATGGGATGAGACAAGATAATAGAGGATAAGATACAACTGGATAAGTTGAGTAAAGGTGGGAGAGGATAACAGAGGAT